AAAAAAAAAAAAAATTTAAAAACAAACAGTAGACTATGTAGAATATAAAATATGGGCTTGATGAAATCAAAAACACCGATGTAGAATAAAAGGACAAGAGCCAGTTCACAAAGGCAGAAAGAGGAAAAACTTTAAAGATAATTACGTTATGGTAATTAAGGATAAATCTCAGCTCGGGCGATCCTTGCAGTCAAGGCCAAGAGGTCGCTACAAAAGGGGCTCCCTTTGAGCTCTTCTTGTCTAACAGGAGCAAACCTATCCGTGTATCAGGAAAGCCTACCTTTCCGAAGTCCTGAGTTCATAAAGGAATTTGATCTAAAGACCTTTAAATATGGGACACCAGCCAAAAAACACGTGCAAGACCAAAAACTGTCATACAGACAGGGTTTACATAAAGGCCATTTCTTACACCAACAGTCTCTGAAGCCAAGGGCATGTGCCCCCAAACTGTAGTCCCGTAAACGGCACAAGGGGCTCTGAAGGCTGTTTGTCCCACCACCGCTCCACGGACAGGGAGGGAAACGAGGCAAAACAGACAAGAACGCTACGGAAGGTGGACCTCAGCTTGGAAAACCACAGGCAGGCAGAGAACCCGGGTGGAGCCGGCTTTGCAGACAGGCCTCGCAGAGCGGACGGGGGCGCTGGAAGGGGAGGGGGCGCGGTGGCTACAAGGGGGCATGTTTCTAAGGCATCCGACTCTCTCTTCCCCTGTGGGAACCTCTGCATTAGTGCTTAGCACCAGGAAATCCAATAAAGCTGAAAATTACAGGGCATACATATTCTGTTAACACCAACTCTTTATTTGCATTGTAGCTGTGAACCATTTAATTATACGGTTTAAAAAAAAAAAAAAAGGAAAAAAAGGCACCGGGCTGAGGCAGAACAATTACGTGCAAAGACTCACGTTGCTCTTCGTCGGGGGAAGGAACCGACCTGGCTGTGGTATTTTGGGTTGACTGGATCAAATCACTCACTTTTCTTCATCTCATTTGGCCCATGCGGCACCAGCTGCATACAAAGGAGAGCCCCACCCGCTGCTGTTTGGAAATTCCAACGTTACCTTGACGTCACTATCCATGGTCAGGGTGAAGCTTAGAGAATTCTCACTGTAGCTGTCAATGCGGATATCTGGTGGTGGGATCACTGAAAACAAAAAGGAATTCAGAAAGAGAAAGCACGTGACGAAAAGTGAGGAAGGCAGGGCCGAACAGTTTTCAACTCGACAGACAAAGCGATCTTTTTAGTTGGGGAAGAAAGGGCATTTCTTGGGCTGCTTTCACTCGTCTCTTTTACCGCTGTCGTCTTGCAGCGGAGGTTGGGTCCACAGTTGCCCGGCGAACACGTAACCCTCTCGGCTCAGCCTGCTCTCCTGGCAATCAGGTGGAGCAGAAAAGTTCCACTGTGTAAATGCCCCCAAACAGCCCAGCGGCGGTCTGGTTCTGAAACGTGCGGGGATCACAGAAAGCGCCACCTTTATTGGCAATGAGGAGGTCTCAGCGGCCTCGCGCCCTCTTCAAAAGTTGAGAGCAGGCCAGATCGTAAGGCAGAAGTTGTAAATGCACGTGTGGCAAGACGGAAACCACGTGGCCTCTGGAGTCTGGCAAACCCGAGTTCAAGTTCCCGTTTTAGACACTTAACGACTGTGTAACCGGAGGCAACTTACTTCCCTTCATACTAATGTTAACTCAACCAATGTGCCTTTTCTTTCCGTGTCCAGTAAAGTCCCACCTCGGACAGAGGAAGGAACTGGTAAGTCACTGGCATTCTCAAAAAGGCCAGAGCCCAAACTGAGAACTGGGGGCAGGGAGGGGTGTGTGTGGGAAAAGAAAGTGGCAGAGGGAAAAGACCCCTCTCAGTGCAAGTGATGAGCATGGTCCTTGACGTTCAGAAGGCCTGTCCACAAGATGGCGGATGGCGCTCTGCCAGCCGTAATCCAAAGGGCTTAGTGGGGTAACTATTATCAGAAGACAGTATTTAAATGACAACTTGTATACTTGACTGTCCTGTGTGTTACGTCACGAGGACACAGGATCACGGACAGAACGCAAGACATACTTTCTGATTCAGCACACCGTGACCTCCTGCACGTGCCTGAACCAAAACCTGTTATGAGCTGAGGCTCACCGACAAAATCACACAAAAGAAGTTTAAGACACTTTCCAAAGCAGGTGTGATTTGCGTTGAGAGAATTCAAGGCACATGTTTTATTGCTGACCTTCCAGGGTCCCTTCTTTTCCATACGCACGGCCAGCATGCTTTGATGGGTTTTGTAGAGGGAAATGACAACACAGCAAAAACCCTAGGGGAGTGTGAACTCAGTCCGTTTTTTTCTAATTACCCAAGAGCACCCTGCTACAGAATGGCTGGCTTCACTAAGTTTGCCTTCCTCTTGCCCTGATCTCAATGAGCCCCAATTTTAAAGGCAACCAGATAGTGACTCTCCATAAACCACAGCCTGTTTCTCACTGGCGCAGGCTCAGGTTAAAGCCCCCCAGTCGTGTCCCATAGGACGCTTCTGTCCAGAAACGAAAGCCGCAAGTGCCAAGGCTAAGATCAGGAAACCGCCGAGGAACATGAGGCTGTAATCCGCCTCCCCCACGTACGCCAGAAGCCTTCATTTTAATCGCTTTAATTCATTCCTTCCTCAATTATTGCATTGGCTCGCCCTCAACACCAGTGACACGAGGGCGGAGGAAACCAAGCCGGGCCCCCCTGCCCTCGCAAGGACACGTGCAAGCGGGACAGGGCAGCGGGAGCACGCGTCTCGGCCCAGGGGGAGCAGAGCAGCCCAGCGGTTAAAGGCACAGGCTTTGGAGCCAGGAGGATCAGGGTATGCTCCCAGCTCTCTGCGATTTACTGACCGCGTGGGAGGGGACTTTGCTTCTTTCTACTTCCTTATCTGTTCTTACATCCGTGACGTGGGCTGATATATGCCGAGCAGCAGGTGCTCCCGAGTACCCGGCTCTTGGCGGGCAGTCAGCTATCACTAGGGTCAACTCTGGTGCTAGGAACTACCACCTACACACGGTTTGTCAGCGCCGCTGGGGAAGACACAGGGGTCAGCCTGGGGATCTTGCAAACACCCTAAATGGACACGGACAAAATCCTCTGTACCCTTGGCGAGAAGGAAGGAGTCCTTTGATTTTGGATATTGCGCATGAGTATAAGAGCTGGGCGCGACGGCCTTTGGAAATCCCTCTTGTACGTCTGCATCCTTAGAGATGCTCAGCTCAGGGGCAGGAGGACATTCAACAGGCACCCGAAGAAACTTTGTAGCTAAGGCAGTATGGAAACACCTGGAAATGTGTGCATGTTGGGCAGAAGGAGGATGCGTGAAGATTTCTCCTCTACGCTTCTCCGTTTCCCAGTCATACTATAAGTTATTTCCGAAGGGTTTCTCTCTCCTCTAAATCTGTGAACGCTGGAATCATTTACCTTTGCCTTTGACGGTGATAATGGATTTAGAATCGCTCCAGTTTCCTACTCCACGGCTAGTCACCGCAGCCACCTTTTCAAATCAGAGCGTGAATTAGTAGAAGATAAAGGCAGTACACCATACAACGAGGGTCCCCAGTGGGCTACGGGGCTGAGACCCTGGCAATGAGGGTGGCAAACGTTCTACACAGAGGGATCCGGGACACTCAGAGGCCCCAGCATCTGAAACAAGGGGCTAATAAGAGGAAGCTGGGCAAAGGGGGTTGTGACAGTGCAGACATGACGGCATTCGTGTGGACTGATGGACGTCAAGGGCAGGGGTTGGGGGG